CTTTTGGGATCCGAGCTAAAGGATAAGCCTCTTGTTTATGTTCTCCGCCTTGACTCTCCACGTTGGGAAGAGGGTTAACTTCCTGCGGTTGTATGATTTGAAATTTGAAAGCAATACGTGACAAGCCTTTCGCCTTTCACAGACTCCGTGCCGGTCAGCAAGCGTGTGTTACGTACCCCCTCTGCGCGGCAACTTTCAGGTTCAAAGCTGATTAGTGGGATGATGTGGGTCAGATTGGTTCCCTGCCCGGTGTTGATGGTCCTCCTCTGGGGAAAATGGGGTCTGTCGGGGCTGTTTGTGGTCACTGGCGTGAGGCTGACCCTCCCAGCCATTTTGACGGTGGAGAAAGTTCTGGTGAGTGGCGTTGCCTCAGGGCTTGCTCGTTTCTGTGGGTCAGATGTGGACAGAGCTCTGTGACCGTGACTGACCGGACCAGGTCCTTTCCTTTGAAGATGTGCATTTCTATTCAAATCATATGCACTGGTTTGTTGGAGTCGATGGTGTCCTTCTCTTCCAGGTCCTAGGCTTATTTGGAATGAAAAATCCCCTGGTTATATAAGAGGAACCCAAGTACCATTTTCGTACCTGCACTTCTTCTTCACACGGCCCCCGTCCCTGGCAAAGAACCCAGCCCGAGACCCACACTTACGCCAGTGGAGCTGCCATTACCCCACATCCTCTTGGAAATTTCTCTTTGGGAACTGCTGGGGGCGCCTTCTCCTGAGCTTCCTCAGTGGGCCCAAGCTTTAGCCTTTGAGCACAGGGTGAAATTGTTTTGCCGTCAAGTTGAACAGCATATCAGGGACGGTATTTTTCGGGCGTAAAAAGAAGATGAGTCTTACAAAGTCATGAGACCCGCTGTCTTGGGTGGCTTGAAAACTCTGTTTGAAGTCTCCAGAGAAGGGTGTCGGAAATGTGTTCAGGTGACCGTGGCATTGCTGAAACGGCTCTGCAGCAGGCTCCTCTGGTGACTGTTCCGAAGGACGATGCTGACGGTTTCAAAGGTGGCCTTGGGGTCCCCGCACAGCTGCTTCTGGGAGGGAAACCCCACACCGAATCTCTCCCAGATGCTTTGAGCTGACAGTGGAGGGAGAGTCCCCAGGTGCGGAGGGGCAGGGCCCCCCCCCCCCCATATCCCGCGTGCATCCCCTTCCGCCCTGCAACGCTGACCTCAGGGTGTTCTGCTGTTATCGCCGCGTAGCAGCTGGACCCAAATTTCCTGGGGATCACCTCCCCTGGGATATCCCTCACTAATGCCCCTGCCGCTCTGATGCCCCACCCCCACCACCTTCTCCTGAATTCACCCCTGTGCAGGGCCAGAACACCTGAACAAGGTGTGTGACAAGAGCACAAGGCCACAGGGATAACACTGGGGAGATAAACTAGGGCACAATCTACACTGGAGTGCCGTTCACCCATCTCCAGCCTGTGACTCCCAGTCCAGGACCCCAGGAATGACTTCAAAGACGAGCACACTCTTCACAAAGCCAGGCCCCAAGTCCGCCAGAGTGCCCCCCTCCTGCCGTCCAGGGTCCGTGTCCCTAATTTCCCATACCTGTTCCCTTCACAGATGGCTGCCTCCAGGACACCTCTCCCTTCAGGGGAGCCCCAGGTCTGTGGGTTCAGGGTGATGCACGTCTCAGCATGCCACATAGTGAGCCTGCCCAGGACCCCAAGTGCCTTCCCTCCAGGCCCTTCCCACACACAGCCTTCTGTCCAGGCCACGCCGGTCTGTGGGCCCTGCCTTCCCTAGGGAGAGGGTTAAACTTGCTCAGTCACTGCAGACAGACTTCTCGCCCTCCTGACACCAGAACATTCTCTGAGTTGGCCTCCTGGTTTGGGCAGGATATTGGGTTGTATAGGAGGGCTGCATTCCAGAACCCTCCCTCCCAGCACATTCCTGATGATCACTTAGGGGGCCTCTGTGCCTGCAGTCTCACCAGCCCTCCAGGCCAGACCGGCCGCCCACGGGGCGGCCTTGCGTCTGCCCTGCCCTCCCTCCGGTTTGCTCCTGCTCTGTTCTGCCACAGCCATCTGGGCCCCTGAAGCAGCTGCGTTCCTGCCTCCGTCAGCACCTCCCCTCACCCGGTTCCCACTGGACCGGGACCCTGCTGACAAAGATCAGACTTGCTCTCGGGCACTCCCTTCCCGGGGGCAGAGGAGCCCCAGGGTGGGGGGAGGCTGGACATTTTCTTGGCCTCCTCCCACAAGGGACCCTGGGGACTTTATTTCGTACCCTGGGCTGTGGCCGTCCGCCTGGAACGCTCCCCGACCGCCCTCCGGGTCACATTCTTCAGAAGAACTGGCTCGGTGCTCCCCTCCCGTCCCTCCCGGAGCTGCCCTGCAAGGGTTCTTCTCTGTCTTCTCTGTCTCCCACCAGCCCGTCCATGTAGGGCTTCCCATACCTCTCCCTGCCGCCAAGTCCCCTTGCAGCCTTCCCACGGGGACCTTCTTTGTGGCTGACTTCCTGCAGCCACCACCCAGAACACCTTCCCTCCCTCCCTCCCCAGATGGAGGCGCTTCAGCGGCCACTGAAAGCAGCTGCTGCCTTGACTCAGAATTCCCAGACTCCCTTGCAAGGCCAAGCCGCTCCTTGGGACCCGGCCCCCCAGAGGCTGAGGGAGCCGGGACCGGCTGCCCTCAACTCCTCCTCCTGGACACTATCTTCCCGTTCTTTCCTTGAACACAACTGGGCTTCTACTCTCTAGTCGGGCCTCCTTTCCCTTCTCCTTGATGTGACCCCGCTTCCCGTCGCCCTGAGGGATGTTGGAGGGGCCTACCCTCTTCTTGCAAAGTGGCCCTTTGGCTCAGGCTCCGAGTTACGGCCTCAGATGCCGACTCCCAGAATCGCCACGCCCATGGGGACATCATTCCTAATGGCTTCAGCCACCGTGGTGGAAGGACCCAGGATTCCTTCCCACAGAGCCCATTCTGCCCCCAAAGCCTGCCGGTAGCTCTCATTCTGTCGTTCTCCAAGGAGAGAGATGAAGGCCTTCCCCGCCATGTTGTTGTCTGTCCCTTGGCATCAGACCCTCCCCTCTGAGATGGTGCTCAATTTCCACCGGCCCTGGGGACCATTGTCCTACACCGGTTGTTTCAGATAGGACACACCCCCGGAAACCGGGCAAGGCCTCAAAGGCTCCAACCAGACTGTTTTCTTTGGCCCCATGCTGTCCCCTCCTAGCTCTGGTCACCCCGCAAGCACTTGGGAGTCCTCCTGCCTATGCCTCACACCCTGAGCATCACTCTCTGGCCAGCTGCGACGTCCCCAGTTTCCACGGGGTCTCCTGCCACCGTCCCGTAAAGGCCGCAAGGTCTTGCCTCCAACAGCTGCTGCCGGCGTGAGCCCCGTGCTGGTCGCTCCGCACGCCGGCAGCAGTCTGCTCCCCAGACCAGGCCAGGAGCCTGGCTGCTGTTTTCTTCCCGTATTTTCCTTTTAGCCCTCCCACTCCTGGCAGCCCTGGGGACCTTATTAAGATAATGCAATGTCATTAGCAGTGGCAGAAGGAAGAGGGTTTGTCTCAGACCATCAGGTTACCAAGAAGTCTGGGCGGATGGTGCTGGGAAAGCATTATCGTGACCGGGAGCCCTCGTGGAGGCCGAGGCCCCCGGGCGAGACCCCGCAGCCCTCGCTTTCACTCAGGGGAATGAGCTCATGAGGACAGGCGCATCTTTCCCACGATAAGCTCTCCGGGCTGGAAGGGGGAATGCAGATCAAGGCTCGGGCACACGTGGCCGGGGCTGCTCCCAGTGCAGAGTAAAGGAAGGGGGTGGCAGACAAGGGAATCAGGGTGACCAAGAGCACGTTGGAACTGGAGTAGGGGGTCCTGAGAGCCAATCTGGCAGCTGCAGGCCAGCGGTCAGTCGACAAACGAGCCATGAGCCCCCCGCTGCGTGTTCAGTGCCATGCGCCATCCGCACAGGATACAGAAGGGTCTGGCAGATCCTCACGC